CCAGCCAGAACCCACCCCAGCGGCCATGTGGTAGCTTCTTTCTGTATTTCCTGTTATGAGGGACAGGAGGGGTGGAGGTAGTATACACACAGGCCCAGGAAAGAGAGGGAGGTGGTGGCGGGACCTGGGGGGAGCAGCTGCCACCTGGTGCCCAGGCCTCACCAGTGACTTTGAGGGCTGTTCTTACAAGCTGTCCCTTCCAGGGACTTTGGTTTTGTTTAATTATTTTGAGGCAGTTTCACTCTGCAGTCCTCTAACTGGCCTTGAATTCACATCCTCACTTCCCTTGTCTCTCTCAAGTGCTGGGATTTCAGTCCTGAGCCTGTAATCTCTCCTGGCCTGCTCACTGTACTGAGTAGCAGTTTCAGGCGAGGGACCAGAACACAGCTGGGAACAAGACCCTGCTTTGTGGGGGCTGATTCTGGTGGCAGAAGAGTCAGGCAGGGAGCTTGCAGCTGGGGTTCAAGGTATAGAGAATGTCACTCCCACCAGCCCGGGCTGGTCACCTCCTTAAGGAGACTAGTTAGTTGGATGTGACCTTGAACATTTTTGGGTCCTCTGGGCATCCGTTTCTATAAAATGAAATCCGTATGCTGTACCCTGGGCGGGACACATGTTTAGCATGCATGGGCCGAACTCCATCCTAGACTAAATAATCCTATGATAGTTGTGGGGGCCCGTGGGGCAGTTTTGAAATTGTAAGGTAGGTGAGGGCAAGCAGGAAGGTGTGGGTTCAGGCGTGTGTAACATCTGGGAGAGGACAGGATGGACAGAAACCGTGGGTCAGGTGGGCAGCGGATTCCATTCTGACTGGACTGGTCTCTTGTTCTGCAGCCTGGAACTACAGCCAGGGCTTCGTGAACGAGGAGATGATCAGGGATCACCTTCCGCCCCCTGGGGAGGAGACGCTGATACTGATGTGTGGACCTCCACCCATGATCCAGTTTGCCTGTTTGCCAAACCTGGAGCGTGTGGGCCACGCCAAGGAGCGATGCTTCACCTTCTGATGGCCGGATGCTGGCCACTCCCATGCCTGCTGCTCATGTATTCACCGCAGCGCCTGTCCCTTGTCACCACTGTCCCTCACTCTGACATAAGCACACATCCATACTGGGGCCTGGGTTCAGCCTGGCCTGCCCAGCCCTGGTCTTCCAGCTGCACTGGCCCCTGAGGGGCCTTTGGGATCAGGACTTTATATCAGGTGGCCCCTGCTAACCACTTTCTGCATAGGCTTCTGTTTGGCACTAACTAGCCATTTTCAGAGATGTCCCATGACCACCCCCTTACACACACACACAGCTGTCAGTACCATGTCTACCCATCGTCATGGACCAGTCTACAGAAAGGAAAAGGGAAGGGTAGCCGCCGCAGTCCCAGGATCCATGCCTACCACCCACCCACCTGCCTTAGGCCATGGCCTGCCCTGTGCCCCTAACACTACACTATACAGTCATGCCCAGAGGTTCTCTGAGGTAGTGACAAGCTACCCCCACTGCTGGCCAAGAGTTCCTGGGGCAACACATGGCCCCTTCCAAAAGCTGGTGTCCCCCTATAGCCTTGGGTGCCCTAAGTCGTCAGTGGGACAGACAGAGCGTGGTAGACCTTGGGGTCCCCGGCTTGGTCTGGCCTGTTTCTCTATCCCAAGCCTTGCTCCTGCCTGGTCCCCAGCCTGGGGGAGGGCTGCTGAGTGTGCCTCTTGTTGAGACAGACCCAGTGCCCGACACTGCCCAGCAGGTGATGTCTCCTGCACCCTGGCTTTTTTTTAGTCATTTATGGGCAAACAAGAGTTGAAGTAAACCTTTGCTAATACTGGTCCTTCTAGAGTCTCCATGGGGATGGCCAGGGAGGGGCAGGAGGGCCCTGTGGCACAGGCTTTATTTTTTTCAGATATGCATTTTATTGCCTGTTCAGAGTTTGGGGAGAGGGGGAAGTAGACAGGAAGCCCACCCTTGTCACCTTACTGATGGCTGTCACTCTCCCAGGTCGGGACAGACCTGTGGAAGAGGGGAAGGGAGGCGCTCCTCTGCTCTTTCCTGGTCCACTGTCCCATGCTGAGGTTTCCCTGTGATGCCTCTGCCATTGCCTTTCCTTCCCTGGTCCCCAACCCTGCTCTCCTGGGAAAGTGGTAAGATGGTCACTTGCAGACAGCAGGAGGGAGTACGGCTGCTCTTACAACTCCAGGGAGGCCGCCTCTGGTGAGACAGCTGGGATGTGAAGGCCTGGTCCCGCTGGGCAGATGCTCAGGTCACTGAAAGACCCTGTCAAACATGAGGTGTGTTGGGGGAGGGGGGCAACTGGAGAGATGGCTCAGTGGTTAAAAGCAGTGACTGCTCTTCCGGAGGTCCTGAGTTCAGTCTCCAGCAACCACATGGTGGCTCACAACCATTTGTAGTGAGATCTGGTGCCCTCTTCTGGCTGGCAGGCAGAACACTATATACATAATAAATAATTCTTAAAAAAAAAAGCAGAGAGGGAGACACCTAGCGTTGATCTCTAACCTCTACATGTGCTGTACAGTTGGTGAATGTACGCACGCACGCACACATACATACATACAAGAACATAGGTGGCTAGAATCTAGAAAATGGTAAAGGAGGGGGTGGTGCTATACTCAAGGGAGTGAGCAGTAGGGAAAGAAACCCACATAAACACAAACACACGCACCCGCCTTAGCTAGTAAGTCCAGAGTGGAGCCAGGAAGAGCGTGAGGGGTCGCAGAAATGCCCATGGAAACCTCACCTACCCTATTATGTCCCTGGAAGGCTGCACACGGGACTCTTGTGTGCTCCACTTAGAATCTCAGGCCCCAACCAGTGTGAGCCATCGCCACAGGTTAGGTCTGTGCTGCCTGAGGGTGTGAAATCCGAGTGAGGGCTGGGGTTTGAAAGGGAAGGGATCGTCTTACTCTTCGAAAACCAACTAGGAGTAGGAGATGTGCTGGACTGCCCCAGGCCCTTTCTGCCTCAGTTTTCCAGCCCATCAATGGCCCCTTTATTTCCAGAAGTTGACCTTGGGGTGTGGAGAAATTGTGGGCATTTCAGACAGATCAGGATGGGTCAGGTATTCTGGCACTCGGGAGTCACAGAATACTGAGTGTTACACAGCTCAGATGGAAAGGTATCTTGGAGCTCGGGAGCTAAGGACCACCACAGGTCGCAGTAAGCATATCAGCTTACAGCCCTGCCTCAGGGAAAGGCTTCTCCAGTGTATCGGCTCTGCTCCAGCAGGACAGGGTCTTTCCAGCTGGGGATGTTCACCCAGTGTAGCAGTTTTGCTCGAGGTTTCTCAGGCGAAGTTGCTACAACAGGGAAGGATTCCCCAGCAAAAGTGTTACAGCCCTGCTCGCTCTGCTCTGCCCAGGGTCGCCCTCTGCTCGGTCGCCACCGCAAAAGATCTTCACCCAAAGCTCATCCAAGGGGTTTATTGGGAGGGTGGCTCTGGCAGAAGACAGCAGGATAGGGCAAACAGTCACAAAGCTGACCAGACACGGGGTTTATATAGGGCTTCCAGGGTAGGGATTGGTCAGATTTTAGTGCTGAGCTCAGATTGGCTAGATCTCCTGCTCAGGGATTGGTTAGTTTTCTGCACAGGATTAGGGTCTGATTTGGCTCTGGTTTCAGGGCCAAAGTGTGTTTCTTTCTCTGGTCCTTTTTAGCCTTTTGGCTCCAATTTTAGGGCCAGGGTGTATTTCTTTCACTGACTCTGATTCCAGGGACAAAGTGTGTTCCTCTGGCACTGGTTTTAGGGTCAGGGTACATTTCTTTGGTTCTGGTTGCAGGGCCAAAGTGTGTTTCTTTTGGCTCTGCTCAGGGTGTTTCTTTGGCTTTGGCTCGTCCCTTTTCCCTACAGAAATCACTTCCTAACACCTGAAATTGGGGGAAAAAAATCAACCTGCTCCAAAGATGTCAGGAGCTAGTGAAAAGAAAAGGATTCACAAGAGGTGACAGTTGCTTATGTAGTATGCTGGTGTAGAGTTGAAGTCCTCCAGAAGAGATGCTGTCACTGGAGGCTTGTCCAGAGCAGGACCTCGGGCACCCACCTCCTCCAGTGCAGCTGGACTCTGGGTTTCACAGTGGGAGGTGTGGTTCCCCCAGTTACCAAGCACAGTGAATTCCTTGGGCCGCAACAAGGCATTTTCATCGCTGGAAGATGCATTGTTTCCCCCAGGGTCTGATCACAGCTCCATCGTCATGGGGAGTATGGTGGGGTTGCCCCACAGAGAGCCTCACTCCCAGTGGCAATCTTAGCTCTACTCGTGGGGTTGGCTCTCACGGATGCAGTGCAAGGCTCTGCTTTTATTATTACTATCTTTTTTTGTTGTTTTTTTTTTTTTGTTTTGTTTTACGAGACAGGGTTTCTCTGTGGCTTTGGAGGCTGTCCTGGAACTCGCTCTGTAGACCAGGCTGGCCTGGAACTCACAGAGATCCGCCTGCCTCTGGGCGTGAGCCACCACCACCCGGCTACCACTATCTTTCTAATGGCTGACTCATAGAAGACACGTAGCCTAGGAGCACATAGCGAACAAACCTCGTTCTACACTGAGACTGCCACGCGAAGTGATTCTCAAATACTAAGCAGTTGTGTACCAGGGTACCAGCAACTTATTTGGGGGGCGACAACGTTTCTCAGTTAGGTCGCCTTTCTGACTTTCTTTGGTATAAAGGGGTCGGGCAGATTGCCGCACCCAGGCATCCCGCAAAGTAGGCGGGTCGCCTCAGGGGACAACCTTTACCCGCTCAAAAATTCGTCTCACATTAGCAGTGAGGACTCGGGCGTCACCCCGAATCGTTATTTTCCTTACTCATAAGTTTAAGGCATGAAGAGTTAGAGCCCTGTCCTCAGGGGTAAGGAATTATATTCGCATTTCAAGTGTGGTGAGTTTCAGATCGCCCATTGAACTGACAGAGTTGTTTATATGAAAGTTTTCTAGTGGTTTCCAATTTCCGTCATTTTAACTCTTCACCTGTAAAAGGAAGGGGGGGGAAAAAGAATCCACCACGCTTTCGGCTTTCTATATGCAGATTAGAAGCGGGCACCGCAAAGGCTCACGGGGAGAGGGCCCCACCCCTTCCGTTCGGAACTTCGTTTTGCGTTGTCGCGAGAGTTGGTTGTCCGGGTGTCGGAAGCTGCTCGTCGCTCCGGGAGTGTTGAAGGGGCGGGCTCGGCGCAGTCGGCCTCCCCGCTCTCCGCTAGCTTGGCGGCGCAAGATGGCCGACATCTCGCTGGACGAGCTCATCCGGAAGCGCGGGACGGCGACCAAGGGACGGTGAGCGGCCTTTTCCTTTATTCGGGGCTCGTGGGGCTCGCTGCTTCGTGGGGCTTGGGGGCGGAGGGGGGAGCAGCCCTGGTCGCGACACGAGAAGCCGCTTGCGCCCGCCCCCTGCGTCCGCCGCGCTCCTTATTGGCCCGGCCGCGCGGGCCATCCGCTTGCCAGCCCACTGGTTACCCGGCCCGGGCGGGCCCGGGGCTGGGCAGGGCCGGGCTTTCCTACCTGGGGACTGGGTCCGAGGGCAACGGTGGCGCAGCCTCGGCTCGGGATTAAGTGGATGGAAGTTGAGCGGACGAGCCTCTAGTCCAGAGCTGTAATACCCGATTCTGCAGCTTCCCTGAAGCCACTGTCGTGAACCCTGGCCCGCGGAGAGGCGTTTTAGAGCCTTCATGCGCCAAGCGCCTGATCCTATCATTGTAGTGTCTGTAATGGTCTTTTTGTTTGTTTGTTTTGAGACGCGGTCTCACATAGCGGGAGCAGGACTCGAACTCACTGTGTCTCGGAGACTGACCTTAAATGCCTGGAACCTCTCTGCTTTCATTTCCTAAGTGCTGGGATGACAGGCGAGTTTGTTTCTGTTTTGAGAAGCTGGCGTCCTCCATGTAGCCCAGGGTGGTTTCGAACTCCTGAACTCAACCGGTCCTCCTGCCTCAGTCTCCCGAGTAGTTGGGGCTCCAGGCACTCCCGTGCTGTTTGTTTACCATATACAGGTTTCACAAATGGGAAGCTGGAGCCTGAGAGAAGGTAGAGTGACTTTCCCAAGGCCACAGAGGACTCAGATTTAACTGCTGAGTTGGCCACAGGCGAGGGAGGAAAAAGACAGGGTGCATTGGTGTTCACTGATGGATGTCCTGGAGTTTTAAGTGAGCAACACTTTAGACTCAGTAGACTCTTAAACGTTGGTAGCCATCTTTAGCTTATGCTTGGGGATATTGAAGGTGAGGCCATCAACGTTAGAAGCAACTTTATTCCATCACCGCAGGGTAGCAGAACGGCTAACTGGTTAGATCCACAGGCAGGTTGGCATCCGGCCCTGAGACCCCTAAGAAGAGGCCATAAGCTTTTTTTATGGCAGAAAAACATACACAGGGTGGGGAGTCAAAGAGATAATCTTCAGACTAGGTCTTAAGGGGAGGCCAAAGAGGGGAGTGCATTCTGGATTCTACAACTTGTGATAACAAGGTGTTTGTGCAAGCTTAATGGAGTTTACTTACACAAGTCTGTGGTTATTTTAGCACAGCTCTTGACACATCTGGGGTCTTGTCTTAATTTTTAACCTGCCCTCCCTGCCACAGAGAATTTAGGACAAGGGTCAAGCAATAGAAGCTGGATGGGGGCTGATGTTCAGATTTACTCTGGACCCTTCAGTGATTTAAACTTGCCAGCGGAGAAAGAATTGGTAACTTGAGCCGGGCATTGGTGGTGCACGCCTTTAATCCCAGCACTCAGGAGGCAGGGGCAGGCAGATCTCTGTGAGTTCGAGGCCAGCCTGGTCTACAGAGTGAGTTCTAGGAAAGCCTCCAAAACAATACAGAGAAACCCTGCTTCGAAAAACCAAAAGAAAGAATTGGTAACTTGGCTAGTTGTCCAGCGAGTTTACAAACTTAAGAGTTTGTAAATGCCCCGCTGGAGAGATGTTCGGTTCTGTTTCCCCAGACACTGATTTGCTCAGCGAATGCTCATCCTTCCCCACGCCTGGCTCTAGTGAACACTTCTGTCTCCCCTACTGAAATGTACTCTGATCTCAGCATCACTGCTTCCGTCACCACCCAGGTCACCAGTTCCAATTATCACCTGTCTTCTGGGTCATAATGAATGACCCACGAGAGATAGTTATTGGCTTCCATGATGATTAAGCCATTAAAAGTTTTCAGTCCTTTTATTAATGGCCAGACCAAGAGCTGCCTCTGAAAGTCTCTTAGTGACCAAGCTCAGTGGTGTGTCACTTTTTAAGAGGAAACCACAATTACATTAGTGCTGGGACAAGGGCCACATTAATGAGGGATTTGGGGTGGCAAGAAAACACCTGCTTTCTTGCAAAGCTCAGCAGAGTTTTTCAGATACTACATAACAATTATCTTTTAGTTACATTTCCTCAGTTATTTAGTTTTACCTTTAAGTTTGCATAGACAGGTGTGTTGGTTAATATGTCTGGACCGTGGTCAGGGTCATGGACAGTCCCAAAAGCCATTCTAAGGTGGACTTGGAATTGAAAGTGGAAGGCACACACCTTTAGTCCCAGCACTGCAGAGGCAGAGGCAAGCAGATCTCTGTGAGTTCGAGGCTAGCTTGGTCTACAGAGTGAGTTCCAGGACAGCCAAGTTCTGGGGTCCATCGTTGGGTCGGGTTCAGGTCCTAAGGCAAGGAAGTGGTGTCGTACACGGAAAACTGACTACCAAGTGGATCACACTCAAATGGCCCTGAATAGCTCAGGCCATCTTTATTTATAGTTAAACAGAGCTTTAATTATAAATCAATTTAATTATTTATAATTAAACGGCTTTTCTCACTAGGGCTACATGAACAGCTGTGTTACTGGCTTCTGTCTCTGACTTTAGGAGATACATCACAGTTTAAGGAACACTTCGTGATCATTATGAAAGCCCCCATTGTCTCCCTTTATTCCTCAGTACACCTTTCCACTCCCTGAATAACCTTATTCTAGACATAGAGTTCAACATTCTCGAAGGCTTAGCTAAATACGAGCCAGACACGTCCTCTCTCTCATGTCAGCTGGCTGCTACTTGCAGTTACAAAGTTAAAAGTGATCGGCACAATGCTTTAAGAGTGACAGTATTCTTTCTCCCAGAGTCCACATGAAGAGAGGGAGGAGCAAGACCATTTAGGGGAAACCCACAGAAATAGCTGACCTGAGCTAGTGGGAGCTCACTGGTAGCAAGGGAATCTGCAGAGGACCACACTAGGCCTCTGAATGTGGGTGACAGTTGTGTGGCTTGGGCAGTCTGTGGACCACTGGCAGTGGGACAAGGATTTATCCTTGGTGCTTGAACTGGCTTTTTGGAGCCCATTCTCTTTGGAGGGATGCCTTGCTCAGCCTAAATATAGTGGGGAGGGTGTTTGTCCTGCCTCAAGTGATGTGACTTTGTTGACTCCCCAAAGCCTTGCCTTCTCTGAAGAGTGAAGGGGGAGAACAGGAGGAGGGGAGAGAGTGGGAACGGGAATTGTTATGTAAAATGAGAAAAGATTGTTTTAAACTTAAAAAAATGATTTAAAAAAACCTATTCAAACCCAGACAATTATTTCATGTCTGCAAGATAATATTTTTATACAGTTCCTTTTTTTTTTTTTTTACAAGAGGGTCCCATGCCTCAATATCTCTGTAAAAGGCAGACTGTAGCCGGGTGTTGGTGGCGCACACCTTTAATCCCAGCACTCGGGAGGCAGAGGCAGGCGGATCTCTGAGTTCGAGGCCAGCCTGGTCTACAGAGCGAGTTCCAGGACAGCCTCCAAAGCCACAGAGAAACCCTGTCTGGAAAACCCCAAAAAAAAAAAAAAAAAAAAAAAAAAAGCAGACTGTGACAAAGCACTCTTTTCTGATATCACTGTACCATAGTTCTTTCATGTAAGTTCTTATGCCTGATAAAGACGGATCTCTCCACCCATATTTTACATTGCATTTTTCCATCAGAATACACTAGCTCTTATTGATTGGAACTTACTCTCAACAGTTGGCACTATGTGTATTCCTGAAGCCTTTTCCCTGTTCTGTGTATGCATGCCTCACTCTTCTTTCCAGAACTGTGAGACATGGTTAATGTTCCAAGTGTTGTTTTCTCATGTGTACCTAACTGTCTCTATTAGGTCAGAAAAGTTCTCAAGATTAAGAGTTGTAGTTAGTAATTACAGATAAAAGATCTAAGAAACATTAGCCCCCTGTTGAATCTTAGGGGAAAATATTTGAAAAGGAACAGAATTTCCAGGGAAAATTATAGCTATTGCATGTGTGACTGACAAAGTAAAAGTAAAAACACCCAAAGAATCACCAATACAATGAGAGAGAAAAGAGTCTGCAAGCCGCACGAATTTTGCAAATTCTTATGCTGTCCTGTGAACTACTGATCCTTGCCAAGTGAGAGTCCGTTTTCATCGGTGCCATGCCCTGAGGAAACCCATTGGACAGGTAGCTAGCTATATGTTTATCCAAGACCAGGCTACACAGCTTCCAACAGCCAAAGCTACACAGAGAAACCCTGTCTTGAAAAAACAAAACAAAACAAAACAAAAAGACCTCAGGGCTGGCTCAGGGGTTAAGAATACTGACTACTCTTCCAGTGGTTCAATTCCCAGCACCCACACGACAGTACCCAACCGTTTGTAGCTCTAGTAGCCAGGGATCTGATACCCTCTTTTGGTATCCCTGTGCGCAGGCTACATAGACATACATATTCAGACAAACTTTTTGTTTGTTTAAGACAGGGTTTCTCGGGGGCTGGAGAGATGGCTCAGAGGTTAAGAGCACTGACTGCTCTTTCCAGAGGTCCTGAGTTCAATTCCCAGCAACCACATGGTGGCTCACAACCATCTGTAATGAGATCTGGCGCCCTCTTCTGGTATGTGCAGACATACACGGAGGCAGGATGTTGTATTCATAATAAATAAATCTTTAAAAAAAAAAAAAGACAGGGTTTCTCTGTGTAGCTTTCAAGCCTGTCCTGGAACTTGGTCCAGGCTGGTCTCGAACTCACAGAGATCCACCTGCCAAGTACTGGGCTTAAAGGCATGCACCACCACGCCCAGCTCAGACAAACATTTATGTAAAATAAAAAATAAAATCTTCAGAAAATAACCCCCCCATGATCTTAAGGCCAACAAGATTGCTCAGCAGGTAAAAAAGTCTACTGAGGAAAAAAAAAAGTCTACTGAGTTGCATCCCAAGACCCATTTGGTAGAGGGAGAGAATGGACTCCTGAAAGCTGTCCTCTGATGTCTACATTTGTGCTGTGGTGAACATGGGGCCACGCACATACTCAAATCAG